TCAGGAAGATTATTTACAACAGAGTACTAAATGAACATCCATAATATAATATATTTATAACATTTTAGTATTAATAGGAAAAAACATCAACCTTCACCATAATAATCCATACCAACTTTAATAGTCAAACGGAGGCAAACTGAATAATTCAAAACAACTTTATCTTTAATTTTCATATTCTTTATCTATTCCAACTTAAAAATATAATGGTAAGGAATAAAAACGTTTGTACTCCATATGTCCCAAAAACGATATACTTTTTAAATTTTAAGAGTCAAACTTCTTAATTTTAACCATAAATTCAGAATAAAATATTTAAGTTTTTTAAAATAAAAATTATATATTTAAAAATTACGTAAAAGTATTAACAATTCAAAAATATTTAAAAGGTGTAAATTAAGAAGATATTAAGTTTTTTTTAATATTTCAAAGTTACATATGCTGTCTAATAAATGATATAACAATCATTTGTCCATGCTTAGTTGTATTTACTAAGAGAGATCAATAATAATTCGGTCAAATAATCTTTTTATTAATTGAATTTCTACACGAGTGCAAAAGTTTAAGGAGAAGAATTAATCTAAATATTCGCTAACCAATTCGCTTAAGCAAAAAAAATTCAGGAATTAATAATGTATGCATAATTCATGTATAATACATATAATAATGTATAATTAATGTATAATATATATAAATCAAGCAAAAGAAGTAATTAGTGAATCGACCGTCTATTTGTGTAAAAATCCTATCTCTCAAAGATATTTTGGATCAAAGGTAGTGCAACACAATTTATTGGGCCCGTGCATCTAGTATATATATAAACATACCTTGTCGGCTGTTATTTTTGCAAAAGATATGGATTTCTCGTAAAAAAAAAGATTAGGCAGCAGTCATAGGCTCAAATTTCCTCTAGCACGTCAAGGACAACAGAAACGCAAAAATTGCACCGACAACCTATTTAGTTTTAATATGTACTCGCTTTTTAAAATATTTTTAACTTGTACCCATTTTTTAAATAACTTCAGGTCTTTTTCTCTTCCTCCTCCTCCTCCTCCTCCTCCTCCTCCTCCTTCTTCTTCGGGTAACAACGATTTTATATGGTGTTTGTGAACATATTTTAAGGTAATATTTTACAGTGGTGAGCTGTTGTGACATTTTATTTTATTTTTACTATTGCTTAGGTTTTTTTTCTTAATTGTAAAATGAGTTTGTTAGATTTATTGTTGTGTTGACAAATTGATGGTTGAGGTTTATTCTTGATGACATTTGGAGGTTATGTTTTAAATTTGAGCACATTTGAAGTGGATTTAGATATTAAATTGTATATTGGATTGTTAAAATCCGAAGAACAAATTTATGTTTCTAGGCAATTTGCACTTCAGGCCTATTGGGCCTTAAGTGCATGAAAATGTTGGTTGCACTTCAGACCTTTTGGTCTTAAGTGTATCTGAAGTGCAATTTTTCACTTCAGATTTATTGCCCTTAAATGTAAGAAAACATTTGTTGCACTTCAGACCCTTTAGCCTTAAGTGTATCATTTCACTTCAGACTTATTGACCTTAAGTGTATGAAATCATTGGTTACACTTCAGACCTGTTTGGTCTTAAGTGCACCTGATCTGCAATTTTTCACTTCAGACTTATTGGCCTTAAGTGTAGGAAAATATTTGTTGCACTTTAGACCTTTTGGCAAGGTCTAAGTGCATCTGAAGTGCAATTTTTTCACTTCAGACTAATTTTGTTTTTAATTTCAGATCCGATAAATCTGAAGTTAATTGTAAAGTGAGTAGGCTTGTAATTTTTTTTGCAAAGTGGGTATATGTACAATTTCGGGTATAGATGCAAAAGTCCCAACAGAAACAAATTTGAGTCTGATTAATTGGGCCCTTTATTTTGTCAAAATAGTACGGCATAGCCAGTTTTCGGGCTGGTCAATCAAAAATAGCTACCGTTTACGAATTTAATGAAAAATAGCCACTATTTTGCTGCAACAGAGACCGGTCCCGTATAATATACGAGAGTTCGGTGCATCTGTGTACGAACTCTATCATATTATGCAGGACTGATATACTTTGCTGACTCCTGTATAATATACGGGAGACTGGAGCACCGGTGCTCCAAACTCCAGTATATTATACTGGACATTTATACTTGCTGGAACTCCTGTATATTATGCTGGAGTTCTAGTGTACTTAAGCTGGAACTCCAACATATTATGCTGGAGTTTCAGCATAGTTATCTTGGAACTTCCGTATAATATGCTGGAGTTCAAGCATACTTATGCTGAAACTCCAGTATAATATACGGGCGTATTTTCCGGATTTTGAACAGTATTTTCGCTCAAATTTATCTTTACATGAAAAATGACTAAATTTCGATTACTTTTGAAACTGTGGCTATTTTTGAATGACCCGTTGTAAATGTGGCTATTTTTAAATTTCTCCCCTCTATTTTAGAACCTCAGGCCCATATTTATCTTCCTTGGCCAGTCCATTAAGCTGACTGCGCCTTCCTCCTCTGTTCCCCAGTGCGGCCTCTCTGTTCTCCATCTCTTCCGGCGAACTTCCCCGGCGAACTTCCCCGGCGAAAATCAAGTTATAGGTTCCCATCTTTGTTTATACTTTTCTGTCAGTACTCTTCAAAACTCTAATTTCTTCTTCTTCTTCTTCAGTAATTTCTATGTTTTTGAATTTGGTGATGCTCAGAAGGATTTGACTTTTTCATAGTTCCTTTTAATTTTTTATTGAAGTTGATTACTTTCTTGCATTCTTATTTGCTTCCTATAATGGCTACAAATTATTAGATACAGTACTAGTCTACTACCTCTTGAGTATGAAATAAAAATACAAAAGGCCACAATGATGAGATTTTTTTTATTGTGTTTTGTAAATTTTCAGTTCTTGAAATCGAGGTCTACAAATTTACCGCATATTTCTAATCATACAAGCAGCTGATTTCACTTTCTTACAATTCCGCCAAGCATATCCAAAATCCAATTCCTTATGAGAAAATTATGCTTCCTCCATCAATTTCTCGCCTTTTCTTGACCACTAAGCCAGCCGATAAGCCAAAATTTGTACTCGAGAAGGTCCATTTTTTTACCACTTGTTCATCATCAGCTGGAGAATTCTTGAGTCATTTGCTGGAAAGTAAAAAGGGGTCTGGTCTGGAGAAGTCTCTGAACACGGTTAAGACTAAACTAGATGCTAAATGTGTTAATGAAGTATTAGAGAAATGCGCCATTGATGATCCTCATATGGGTCTCAGATTCTTCATTTGGTCTGGACTTCATCCCAGCTATAGACACAGCAGTTACATGTTCAGTAGAGCTTATAAATTGCTTGGATTTGATCGCGAACCACAAATTATTGAAGATTTCATTGAGGCTTATAGGCTGCAGAATAAATATGTTCCAAGTGCTAAGATGTTTAAGGTTATATTGAATTTGTGTAGAGTGGGAAAAGATGCTACCTTGGGCTTGTGGGTATTGAGGAAAATGAAAGAGTCCAACTGTCGGCCAGACACGACAGTGTATAATGTAGTTATTCGATTATTGTGCGAGAAGGGTGATATTAATGAGGCTCTGTTTTTTATGAGAGAGATGGATTCGAGTGATCTTCATCCTGATATGATCACATATGTTGTGATGATTAAGGGGTTGTCTGAGGTGGGTCGGTTGGAAGAAGCTTGTGGATTAACCAAAGCTATGAGGGGACATGGATGTGTGCCAAATACGGTGACCTATTCAGCTCTTCTTGATGGGATTTGTAGGTTCGGGAGTTTGGAAAGGGCGCTTGAGTTATTGAGAGAAATGGAAAAAGATGGTGGGCAGTGTAAGCCAAACGTCGTTACTTATACTACTGTGGTTCAGAATTTTGTTGAGAAAGGTCAGTCGATAGAGGCATTAAGTATTTTGGACCAAATGAGGGATTTTGGTTGTAAACCAAATAGAGTACTTATCTGTACTTTGATTCAGGGTCTTTGCAAAGATGGGCATATGGAGGAAGCTCATCAAGTCATCAACAGAGTAGCTGAATGTGGTATTCCATATGATTCTTGTTACAGTTTTCTAGTTTTATCACTGTTTCGGATTGGAAAACTCAAGGAGGCAGAAATGTGTTTTAGGAGAATGTTGGCTGGTGGCCTAAAGCCTGATGGTTTGACCTCAAGCACAATAATGAGATGGCTTTGTCAGCAGAGAAGGATACTTGATGGATATCACTTGATTGACGCGATTGAGCAGTCTGCAGGCGTATCTTCTATAGATTCTGATATTTATTGTATACTTATGGCTGGACTATGTGAGGAAAATCATCTTGTTGAAGCTGCAAAGCTTGCTAGTCTAATGGTAGGGAAAGGAATTCAGCTTAAAGGTCCTTGTACTAAGAATGTAATTGAATGTCTAGGACGTTGTGGCAAAGAAGATTTAGCTTCAAGCATTGGTAGTATTAAGTGCTGATGAATGATCAAGATTGCTTTAATATCGTGATCCTACTTGTGCCTCAGCATTGTCAACAAATAGTCACGTCACCGTTGAGATTGACCCTCAATTGTATTCCATATTCCACCTAATTGAATTCTTTCCAGTTTTGTGCAAAAAAATAAAAAAATAAATAGTTGGGCTTCTAGTCAGTTTGATTGATAACTCTTTTCAGATTTCAACTTACATCTCATTTATTGATTTTGCACTCTGATTTGTGTATTGTCGGCCGACATTCTTATCCAGTGTGAGATGGAAAGAACAGGTGAAGTGTTCCTTTGAATATTCAGTTGAGGTAACACTGATTGGTGTATTATTTTATAGCTAATAACATGGAATAACAATGCATGGATTAAAGCAAATACTAAATCTTATATCATGATTATTCTATACAACAACAACAGCAATTACCCAGTAAAATTCCACAAAGTAGGGTCTGGGGAGGGTAATGTGTACGCAGACCTTACCCCTACCCTGATAGGGCAGAGAGGCTGTTTCCGATAGACCCTCGGCTCAGAAAAAAGAAAAAGATAAAGACAATTCATTAGTGACTCCAGTAGAAACCATAATAGTAACAGAAGCATAACAACTAAAAGATAAATGACATACAATAACAGTAACCGGTTACTAAGGCCCGGGGCTAAGATAAACAGCAGGGATAGTGTGGATTCAACATAAACTGCAAGCTATCTAAGATCAACCCTAATCCAACCCTGCCTCACCCCCGGTATGAAGTACGCAAAGCTCTACTACCCCCTAACCTGCAACCCTAATGCTTGACCTCCAAACCTTCCTATCAAGGGCCATGTCCTCAGAAATCTGCAGTCATACCATGTCCATCATGATCATCATAAAACCGAATGAGTCCTGAGTGAAGAAATATCCGAGACTTCAGACATACAGTAAGTCGATAAGATGTACAAAGCAAGTGGTCCTATTTGTTTTTATCTTCTAGGATGTGCTTCCATCATTATACCTGACAATTATCCCTCTATTTTTTAAGGTTTTCCATCATAGGAAAAGGACATTCCAAGTTCAACGAGTTTACTCCTTTTCTCTAAGGAAAAGTACCTTGAGATGCAACAGAGGGTCAAACAGGTACATAAGAATTTCATTTGGTATCTGAGCTGTCAAGTATGATTCGTTTCATATGATTTTCACTCTCTTTGGAACAATAGAGTTTTTAGTATGAACTATCTGAATGAGAAGTATTGAATTATAGTTGTAGCACATGTAAAATATGGAGAAAAAGGTCATTGATCCTCTGGAGCTGGTTCTTCCCATCCCTAAATACTTCTCTGCTGCCTGTTTTAGTGATGATACTTTTTGCCAAACAGAAAAGTAAAAGTCTTATCACTCAAGACAGCCAAAAGAATACAATCGGCCAAATACATATGGGCCCCCTGACTTTCATTTAAACACCTATACACGAGCTAGTACCTATTGAACACCTAAACTGTATTAAAAGTGTACATATTAAACACATTTTAGCTGAAACAGTCTAAAAATGAAACACGTGCAGTTCATTGGATGCTGCTTGATGAGTTATGGGGAAGTAAAGAATTTAACCTGAATGTTGCTGAAATCTAAACGAATGTTCAACATAGTTTGATGTGTGTTTGGAACTGTCAACCGAGGGAAGTTAGTTTTGCTCTACTCCCACCTAGCTACCCTCTAACAAAAATAGAAGTCCCATTCCTCTCTTGGGGTTATTTGTGATGCAGAGTTTCTTTGCATATGAAGGTCGGGGGTATTTTTCCTACCACAGGTTAAATTAGTTTCATCCCACCTCATTTTTTTCCGAATTGCATCTTGGCTTAGTTTTGTCCGCCAAAACAAGGACAACAGATTATCGCAGCCACCTTGATCTCAATTTTTAAACTTCCTTTTTCTTTCTGGTTCAGTTGGTTGTTGCTTTGCTAATTTTATGCCGTTTGCTTAAATAATACACTTTGTTAGCTGGTGCACCTTCATGTGTAATTTTGGATACATTCGAGAGAGTATTAACTGCTTGATTTACTTAAAGAAGGTTCTTCTAGTTCTGAAATCTTAATTCCAACTCCAATCCAGTTATCAACCTTATCCACATATTGGCCTGAGAATACAATCCCTCTGTTAACACTAGTGCTGTGGTCTCAAGGCTCTAGAATCCCCTACCTCCACATCCCCCCCCT